TCATCAGACGAAACACGGAATTGCTTCCATTTCACGCCGGTCTTCTGTGTGGTCGTGATATTACACCGGGCGTGCCAGCCCATTCGTGCTAAGATGTTAAAGTGGGCACTACCACTGTTAAAATTCTGATTTAATATATCCTAATTCTGATATAACAATATCTATCGTTAAAAAGCTGATAAGTATAAAAAATTCCCACCGCTTTATTAATATGTATCATTTCTATTAGAAACATTAACATTTTAATTAAAAGTATAAATAAATGATCGGCTAAAAAAACACCGATAAATAATGTAAAATACCTCTACGGATAAATCAAGGTTACTAATCCGTGGCCAATTAGATAAATATCAGATTGTTTTAAAAATAAACCATTGTATAGCACGTGTATACGATACTTCGTTAAATTATATACATAATAGAGAATAATAATAATCAGGATCAAAACATAAAACATTTTTAACAGAATATCTTTCCGGTATTAAAAACAACACTGGCTAACATCTGAAACTGATTTTTAATTATTTCCACGTTTAACTTACATAAACAAGGTTAATTAATTAATCGCATCCCAAAGTAACACTGATTTATTTTATACTAGCTTACACCCGCGACTCCGTGCGCGTGGAATTAAAAACAATAGTGAGTAGCCTATGTATTCTTCCACACTATCTTTTACATCTGTACCAAATTTCATCGAATTCTGTTTAGCCGTTTATGCTACAAACTCTAACAAATCCATCTAAACTTTCGCATTTAAACATTACTGATACTAACAGTTTTATCTTAAACATTCGTTTAAAAAGCAACAAGTGCGATAATTAGCAGGATAAAGATCTTGTTCGTCGAATCTCTGTTAAAGTTTTTTTTGTCTGTCCTCAATCACACCGATGTCTTATTATTATTTCGTTTTTTATTATTATTTTACATGTAGGTATTTCCTTTTCATAAAATGTTTAAGGTCCTATCAAGACGGCAAATATTAATATTCATAAAAGGTATTCGTGAAGTTTATTAAAATTTTCATGACACCGATGTACAAGGATGTTATTGAATTTAAGAAAATAAGATTCCCTGTAACATGCAGTCAGAGGATTAATTCTAATTAAGCTGCTAAAATTCATAAGCCACAAAAGTACTACGCTCAAACTGCTTTAAATGATCACATGCATTACACTAACAAGGCATAATAAGTGTACATTTTGTCAAAGTCACCTTTTATATTAACGTATTGTATTACGATAAAAGTTTTACAAGTTATGCACATAATTGACACGCGTACTGCTTCACGTTAAACAATCTCGTTAAATTTTAATTACAATTTGAAGGTTCGGTAAACATAAACAGATTACGACTGAAGGTCAACAATTAATCCCGAAATTCTCTTTCAAACCTCGAACATTTGACAAACTTACCTCAAAATCTAGTTCTGAGAAAATGTCACGAACAGTAGCTTAGATATCGGAAACATTCTTAATAGACTTTCGTTTTATAATATCAAATTTATAAGGTAAGTTTATTTTTAAGTTATTTGGTTTATAAATACATTTTTGTTTGCCAAAACATTAAGGTTTATAAAGCGAATGATTCCCGACCTCCATAAGAAGGGTAAGACCAGGGAGATTATGGTAAACACGGCTTATATACTTTAACTAGCTGTTCTCATGCGGCTTCATTAGCAGGTATTAATAAAAACTTCGTTTTATAGTTTATATTTGTCAATTTATCAATTGCAAATGTCAAAATGACATGACATGATGGCAAGTATGGCAATCTTGATTCTTTGATGTTGGCAGCAACTTATGGTGTCTTTCCCACATTAGGATTTTCATCCAAAATATTTACCCCCTAAGTTTAATGGTGTGAAAATATATAGCCTAAAGCATGACGTAAGTGTAGGGCTTTTTATAAAAAAAAAGAATTATTCAAAAATATGCTGTAATTGCTGACATCTTAGGCAACAAAGAAGTGTGTGTTTACGCTTTTTTATAATAGTATAATTAAAAATTAGGTTAATATATTTATGCTAAAACTCTTCTAAAGTTAACTACCATGTATTTTCATGTTAGGAGCCTTTAGATTTCTGGCCAAGTCGATTTGAAGAGTTCAATAATCTTTGTTGTGACCTTCATTATAACAGCTTACGTCTCCATGTCTTTAATGAGCCTGAAATTTGTTTTCTTTGTCAAATCGCATACTTATATCATGTGCCATGTTTGTACAATTGCTTATTGTATTAATTACACTTACGCTTAATGAATATAATTAACGTTCAGGAATAAATTTATTTTTAAATATTGAATCAAAGGTTAAAAAGGGCTACGTACTTTTAATTTGGTGTTTTTACGTGGCATCGCAACTCTAACCTCAACGCCATCGCTGATTGAAAAGTCAAAAATGTATAGATCACAATAACATTTGATAACTCACGTGCTTGTTACGTATTCATTCCTATACTATTTGACACATTTTGTCGATTCCACAAACGACATCGCTAATTTGCATAAGAGGGTTGGTTCAATTATTATATCCGAAACAAAAGAAGATTTTAATGATAGTCGAATGTTATTTGATAACGTGTTGTGTATTTCCAGTTGAGATGTCTTGGTGTGTTCAATTTAAAAATCATAACATAAAAGGATGTACTTGCCGTTTTTCAATCTTTGAACGTGGAACAACAAAATGTTTTATCCATATACGCTTATTTCTTTGTATACTTTTTTGTCATGCTTTTTTTATTCATCTCTTGATACATAAACTATCACTAAAAACTAATAAACGCCGGTGTATTTTTAGAAAATCGCTTGCAATTAATTGTGTTTTCTTATTAATTCATTTTACTGTTAACAAAGTACTAGGTTATCTGTTATGTTCTAAATTCTCTCGTTTTCAACTTAGATTATATTCTATTCAACTACAATTCTTGAATAAATTACAGACAGTTAGGTCACTTTGATTCCGACCTTTAAAATTTTTAAATCACGTCCACCATCGAGACAAAGTTTGTCACAAATCCTTCTTAATATTTCAACTCACAACCTCAAACATTCATTTGTTACCGAACTAAAGACGTAATATTTTAACAAACACAAAACATTTAACAAATTCTTGTTTTAAGACGATTATGTTTGAGGAAGTTTAAAGTTTCAAATCTTCAAATTTTATTAAATCATCTATTTCCTGTATTTAAAATACTTAATTTACTATTATGTAATTATTTTTGGTAAAGGAATTATTTTATTCATCTTCCTTACAATTATCTACGTCTTAAGCAAACTGAGAAAAAACTTTACTAAAAAGTGATTAGTAATTAATTGTATGGAATTTGCTTTTTTACCTTTGACCTTGAACTTCCAAAACCATAAGAACCACTGCGTTTTTTAATTCCCGACCGTTAAAAATTAAACGTAAACCTACTTAATAATTTTAATTAAAAAAACCGGTTAGATCTGATAAGCTCACAAATTTATATGAAAAACAGAAATATACACCTACTTTATGTATAATCGTAAAATTTAAATTTGACACGAAAGACAGTAATTTTAAAAAATCCGTTGAATATTTTAATGATTTAACAAGAAACATGTATTATAAAAATTCTACTACGCGTATTTTTAAATTAAGGCTAACCAAATTTAATATTTTAAACACATAAGCAACATTTAAACAGTGAAAATCATTTTGGAAACTGTAAAATTAATTTAATCGAGTGTAAAAAGATAATATCGTGGAAAACGCATACATACCGTTTAAAGGGCATCCAAAAAAGCAAAACAAATAGCACAATAGAATAACAAAACGAAACAAATATGTCAGAAATTCACTGAACACAATAACACATTAATGTAACTTTTTACGGTCATACTTCGGGTTTATCGTTTGTGTTACGAATGGTAAGGTTTACACTGAATGGCCCGGTACGATAATATCGTGACGCTGCCGATTCACTACTGAAATCGAGCAACGGAAGCCTACAGCTGCGTCCTCAGTCACACCGCTCGCTGCGGTCAATGTCAACGTCTACATCTAAACTAATACAACCATATTATAACAACCTGTGTGATTGCATTAGTAGAAAATATTGAAAAAGTAATAAAAGAAACAACTATAACATTTTTAAACTTTCAGCGTTCAAATAATTTTGTAACTACTAGATTTCGCCTGTGACTTTGTCCGGGTGGCATAAAAAAAATAAAAGTAGCCTATGTGTTCTTCTAGATTTTCATTTACGTATATGCCAAATTTCATCGAGATCTGTTCAGCAGTTTAGTCTACAAACTCTAACAAACATCCATACATCCATCTAAATTTTATAATATTAGTAAGATTAAAGTTTATAGTGCTGAGTTAAATAATGTTATTAAAAAATAAATATTAAGCTTTTTTACTAAACAACGCAGATAAGAAAATATATGATTTTTTAAGAAGTAAAACATTAGTAAAATGTACAAAAAAAGTAATATTCACAACATATGTATTTTTTTTAGCTTTTTGTCGTAAAAACGTGATGCGTCGGTTTTCATTTTTATTTAAATTTAATGCAATAATAATATAAGAAATGTTTTAAGTTAATTGACATTATACAAACATGTCACTTCTTAGAGATTTCTAACTCTATAAAATGTTTTATCGATTGTAGCTTCCTTTTTTGTTGATACAAGCTACCAGCCACTTGACCTACCTTAACAATATAGGTACAGTGAAAACAAAGGGCTAGATTGAGTAATATTTGATTACAGATAGTGCAACAAATGTACATTATATAGAAAAGTTTAACTCGAAGGTCATATACACAACTCGCAAAAACTTTTGTTAATTTTCTAATTGTGACGAAGTTAATCGAAAACATTATTTTATACAAAATTTATTTCTTGTATCAAAATGCAGTGCAATATTATTCTGCAATTTTAATTTCCACATCATTAAATGAATATTGTTAAGTCAAGTTAAAACTATATATTGAGTCCATTCAATTAATATTCTTAGGACATTTTAAGGTCGGTCACGCTTTAACGAGATTACTGAAATTTCATCGGAAAATATTAAATGAATTTAGTGAAAAATTGAAGATATTCCAATTAGTCTTGTCATCGTATTTTTTGGATTTGTTAATCAATTCAGATTTTTTTATTACACTAAAGTAAGTTTTTTAACATAATTCTTAATAACCACCATTCATTTTGAGTTTATTTACAACACTTTATTATTTTTTTATTTGGGAATCTGAGGTATTTATTTTAAAATTCAGTGGATATCTTATCGTCCATCCATATAATGCCAAATTAATAAAAGCAGCACAATAATGAATTCACACAATTGTTAATACATATGCAAACATATGATACATATCTAAAGTTCGTATTAAGATTTACTTGCAAATAATGACTTTTCAAATGTTAATCATTTAAAACTTACATCCGCATTCAATAGCAAACAAAATATGCTGCAATTTTAATGTATCAAGTTGGTAATTAGAAGTAATGTTAAAAAATTGATTTATCAACGTAATGGATTATGTAAATGAAACTGAGGTTTGGAATGTTTCTCAACAAAATGAATAATTTTCTTGACATTTTTATACGTTATAATAAAAAATAAGCTGAAATATGTTCCATTTTTGGTATAAAATATGTACTATTCGGCATTTCATGTAATTTTCTAGTCTTTCTCGATCAGTGCCAAAAAGTCACTCCGTACTCCTGCACTGCTTCTTGTATGTGAATGAAATCTTTGTTGACATGACATTGCTAACAGTTCCAGAATAGCACTACGTGCCTAACGTCACCTCAGTCTCCTTTAAAATGAACTGATTTGGCCAAAGTTGCGGAACTTTACTGTATGGGGGCAACACTGGACCAACAATTATTGCATAAGAAGACGTACCACAGAGAAAAGAAATGTTTGGATCGACTATTACTAAAATTCTCTAACCTAATAGAAATGAAAGTCATCTTAATACTTTTTGTAAAAACCACAATTTTCAAGGTAATTAAGCACTTCTTATAATTTACTATATAAAATCGATAAGTATTTTAAACAAAAAACAAGTATAACGAGTCAGGGAATAAATAAAATGCATATAAAATTTTTGAATAATAATTCTGACCTTGATATTAAAATTTGTTATTAAAATATTGTAATGTATTCCTTTCTTAATGTATCCACTTAGTACATACTAAGATTTAAATATTTTCGACTTGGACACATCTTATGTACATGTAGGCTACATACATAAAAACCTGTTATACATTTCAAAAACCACTCTAAGAGATTTTAGGAACCAGACTTTCGTATTTAAATACTAAGCAATAGATTTTTCTCTCAGGCATAGTTTTTTTTTTAAATCCTGAGTATTATCGTATCAAAACAGATTTTTATCGATATTTGTAGAGTTATTTTATATAAAATGCAGTGTTCTTCCCGGATTCATCAATTCTACCTTCCATTAAAATGCCTATGAAAATAATTCTATTCGTATCGATAATTATGGAAACGGACTTTCAAACAGGCATAAAAAGTATTTAAAAAAAACGTTAAAAATAACGCAAAATATAACATGTACACGTAATATACCTATATAAAAAATATTTTAATTTAAGAGACAGACACTCTATACTTATTCGAATATTTGCTTATAAATTTAGGTAAATCCAATAATATTTCAACTTAAATTTAGAATTGTAAACGCCAGTCTGGACTAAGATGAAATTAGCCAAAGTATTCCTTCTTCCGATAAATCTATAAATTTAATGAAAGTCCATTCCATTAGCAATTTGTAGGTAAACGAAATCTTTTATCTTTCGTCGTCTGATTACCATTGCTAAAGCACAAAGGTATATGGTAGATAGTTTATAGCTGCGATATAAATGGCAGGTGTTGATGATTTTTGTGTAATGTTAATTCCTACATCGGGAGTTATAAAATAGCCTATGCGTTGTTTCGAATGTCTTTGTCCAAATTTCATCAAGATCCGTTCAAGCGTTCCGTAAAATCCGTACATCCATCTCCAATATTTTACATTTATAGCGTTAGTTAGATTATTATCTGTTTTAACACCACAAACATTAGACCATCAGCAAGTTTGTGATAATTTATAATTAAAATGAAGATGTTTTAAGATTGGTTACCATTATTAGGTGTTTACATTATGTTATGATAAACAAAATAATCTCTTAATCTCGTTTCATATTAATATTAATGTATTTTGTGTCTTATTGCATAATTTTGATATTACCTAATAATTCGGAGTCCAATTTATTGGCCAAAAACGTCTCTCATTTATCTTCACCAACGACGGACATTATGTGGGAATGAATGTTTTATATTAAAAAATCGGAATTTAATCTATATAGAATACTATATTTCGCCCGCGACTCCGTCCATGTAGAATAAAAAAAAAACCTATGTGTGCTTCCGGGCTATCCTCTACATCTGTACCAAATTTCATCGATATCCGTTCAGCTGTTTAGGCTACAAACTCTAACAAACATCCATCCATCCATCTAAACTTTTGCATTTATAATATTAGTATGAAGTATGATAGAGTATCTATACAGCAATCGAAGTGATAACGCGTTTGATTACTTTGGATCTAAAGGTATAAAAACTCTCGTTTCCACTATTATCGTGTTCGGTGCGTTGTTAGGGATATATGAGCAACCCTATCGGATCTGCAATCTCTGTAATGGCTACTCTTTCAATGTCTATTTCTCGTACTATTTCTTAAAAAATAGTTTTCTCTTTGAATATAGTTAGCTATTTTAGAGACTGAAATAATATTTACTAATCTTTAATAAGGTAATGTTTAAAAAAACTTTTAAAATACTCAAAACTTTAATAATGGGGAAAAAAGTGTTTTTCTGTTCTGTTCCACTGTTCACGTCCTTTTAATTTTTGAATCCCTTTCATTTCGTACGAATTTGTACCTAAAAACAATCGAAATTCTTACAGAACCGACAAAAGTAATGAAGAAATTCGTGAAGCGGCCTAAGTAAAAGACGGTAATTACTTTGGCGACAGCTTAAAGTTATGTTTATGAAAGTATAAGAACAGCCATATATCTAACTTCTTGAATTAATTACTTTAATGTGACGTATATTAGACTAGGGGTAACGGAAGCTATTTTCCGAATTTACTATTGTCTCGGATAACATTTTACTAAGATATTATTTATACAATATAATACAATTGTCATCTATCAAAAGTAGAAAGTTACAAAGTAGTCGATTCTTTTAACCGGATTCCCAAAAGAAGGAGATTATCATCATTGCCATGATGCTCGGTCCTGAGCCGGAAGTTATTAATAAAGTAATCGTTTTGAAAGGGCCTAATAAATTTGTGAATCTAACAAAATTGTAAGCCTGGGGCACGTTGATAAATAAATGTAATATAATGCGGACCCGCAATTAATTACCCTTTTAGAAGTCACTATGGGCTTATATTTATTAGAAATACGAATTACAAGCGTAAAAGAACTAAATTCGACTAACAGATTTAAATAAATTTCTAGTTTTTCGTAACCCTATTTTAGGGCTACGAGTCTACACAATACGTGTAAATATATCAACAAGTTACGCAACAGTCAAAGATACAATATCATATAGGTTAGTCCGGCAAATACTCTCTGATAATTTAAAGAACAAATCTTTTTAATACAAGCAATAATGTCGTTTATGGACCAAGACAAATTTACTTTCCGACGGAAAAAGTCCAATTTACGCCTCTGTACACTGATGTAACTGACAGATATGCCGGAAAAAAAATGTAACACGGTTTTTCTTATTGACTAATCGTACAAGCTTGGAAGACAAAATGCTACCACGAAGTGTTTACGAAATGAAATAAGAGATACTCACGGCTACGTTACATTTACAGGGTAGCCAGGTAAGAAATAAATCAATACTTCTGCTATTTAATGTTGTGAACCCAAACTTGCACTGAAGTAAACAGAAATAGAAATATAAGTCTTCTATGTTATTGGCAACAAACATGTCATAAAATAT